AGGTGCGCTGCTCGCTTATCTACGCCGCTCGCTTATTAACTACGTTATAATATAGATAATTACTAAAATTCTATTTTATATTAAGAGTTTATTTAGTTAAACCTTATAATAAAAGCTCTAGAAAATCTTAAAATAAGATAGAAAGTCTATTTTTTATTTATAGTAGACTTATAATAGGTTATAGGGGATAGTAATTTTATTAAAATATTACTTTTTACTTTTATAGAGTCTTTTACTAGAACTATTGGTTATTAGCTTTATTACTTATATATAAAATAAAGATATAATAAATCTCTATTATAATACTCTTTTTCTTATTTTTAATATAGATTTAATATAAGTATTTAAAAGTATATATTTTACTATAAATTAAGAAAAACAACTAACCTTTTATACCTTACTATAGCTATACTAGCCCCCTTATATCGTGACCTTAAGAAGGTACTCCTAGCTAAAACCAGTAAATTACTAATTCTATTATATACTTCTTCACTTAAAAAGTTTAGAAGATATATTATATCTTTATCTATTTTACTATATTAATTAACTCTTATAAAAGAAATAATAGAAGTAAAGCTTATATATATAAGATATATAAGAATATAGACTTTAAAATAATGATTTTCGTATTATAGGTAGCTTACCTATTATATATATATAATTTGATATATATGAATGGAATCAGTGATAAGCCGGTTTTAGTTAGGAGCACCCTCTCGAGGTTACGAGATAGGAGGCGAGGACGGCTAGTTAGGTCTTTATTTTGGAAGTCGAATACGCATTCCACTTGCAGTATCAAAATTGGCAAATTCCTCCCATCTCATCTTCCATCGTCCATGTTTCCGCCAGTCCGCTGACAGAAACCTCATCTGCCCTTGGCATCACCAATTCATCTCGCTTCGTTGCAAATAGATCGCTTTGATCAGAGGTTCTCACTTGGTGCTTCATAAATTGCCTTGTCCACTCTGCTATTGCTGGAGCACCGGTCTCATCTCTAGCCTGCTTGAGAAAAGGAATGAGAGCAGTCCCGCCAGTTCCCTTTTGCAATTTGCTGTCTTCTTTCCGCGACGCGACAGCGATGTTATTGCGGCCACGCGCCGCCTCGGGGCTGCGGCTGCGCGCCCGAACTTCTCGCGATGGGTTTATGATGTATCTAGTGACAATAGCAATGTGCTTGTCGCGGAATGCGCTGAGCATAGCAAGGCACGCATCATATGCAAGGCACAACCTGTCATCGCCAGTATTGCTTTCAACATAGGAACGGATATTGGCCACATCCTCGCAGTCATTGAGAAACTTTGCATGGCGTGCCGGCATATAGCCTCTCATGTCTTGTATGAAGTTGTTTCGCTTCGCCATGGCTTCGTGGGTCGTTGCTGACTGCCCGGTAGGGAGGTGCTTGATGCCGAGGACAATATCAAAGAATTGGATCAAACTACTCTGAGCATTGCTGCCTCCACTGTATTGTCGGTACACTTCGACGCCGGAGCCGTCTTCATATACGACACCATGAGGCAGGCCTGCCTCACCCATGTTCTTACTGCCCGCAAGATATGGGCGTATCCGATGATAAAACACTGCGGGATCGCAGCTCTCATGCATACGCTGAAGAAGACTTGTGAGATCGGTCAGGCGTTCAGCGAATGCGCACAGGCAGTTCGTAACCAGGGCACTGTCATTGCGTCTGGCTGCCTCCATTGCGGTAATCCCCAGATCAAGCACAGGCGCACCGCGAGCCTCGATGGCAACTGAAACCAAGTAAAACCAGGATTCGTCCATGGAGCCCGTGAAAGTATTGAGGCTGGCCAAATTTTCCAAATTATCAATATTCTCGTTCATGAATAACGGTTTGAAGTTCCAGAGACAGACAGCAGCATATGTGGCAACTGGAAGGATCTCGAGACGGTGAGATATTGTAAGAAGTGGGATAGAAATCTGCGGCGGAATGCGATCCAAGGGCGAATCACCGGCCCAAATATAGCCATGGACCATGAAGCAAAGAATCGAGTATGCGCGGCGCCACTCCGCATCGTGCTCGAGGCCGATAGTTGCAAGCACAGGTAGCCGATCGATGACACCGCGAAGTCGGCGGCTGAGAATCAATGCTGACAGATTTGCGGCGATGGCTTCCCACTTGTTGTAGTAGGGGTCGGGGAGTCGTGCTAGCGGAAGCTCGCTCGGAAGAAAACCATGCGTGTTCGAGAGACCGTAGTCATTGAGACTGGGAATCGGGGGCAGCATTTTGCGCGCTTTGTTGCTCCCAAAGTCGCAGGTGCTGCCGATAAGATGCTCCGTAGTTTGGCGTACATGTGCCCGCACCTACTTTGCCAGTAGGTGCTGTACATGGTGACAACCATCGCGCCGCAACGACCACCATATAAATACTACTCAAAGGGTTAGATTTTTATATCTACTATAGAAACTTAATTAATCATTTATAAACTCTAAAATAAATCTTATAAATTTTATTAGCTGAACTAGTATATAGTTTATTAAAGTTACTTTAAGATTTTATTTAATTTAATTAATAAATTAAAAAAAAGAAAGTTAAAAAACTATCTTTTTAACTTTATTACTTAATTAAATTATAATTAAATTATATTTTATATAGACATTATTATTTAAAATATAACTTAAAATACTAAATTTATTTTAGAATCTATTATTAAGTAGTTAAAGTATTATAGTAGATATAAAGATCTAATTTTTTTAGTAGTATTTATATAGTAGTTATCATCTTTATTATAAGAGACTAGACTATATCTATATTATACTTTACTATAAAATAAAATTATAAATAACTTATTTTCTAAGTAAATAACCTAAGATCTAGTAATAAGATAAGACTAGATTAGTTTTAATATATTAATATAATATATTTAATATAAAATATAAAAAATAAAATTAAATAAAACTATATAATTATATAATTATTTATTAAAGATAAACTAGTATAATGTTTAGGGAGAACCGT